TGGAAGATTGCTCGCCCTCGTCTGTGGTTATTCCCTCCAAGGGGTTTCCAAGCAAATCATTGTGTCTCCCATTAATTTTATATTGCTCTTGTCGCATTTTGCTCAAGTACATGCTTGCTTGCTATCGGTACCTATTGCTCAAGTTTGGTACAATTTGGTTGTGTTGACATGTGAGACATGGACATGCATGGGTTTTTCGATACTTTGATGATAACTTTTGGGTATTTACCTTGTAATAAGCTGATCTCGCATGTTGTTGTGGTGAAGACTGAATAGCTTGGTGCTTATGGATTTCATCATATGGTTCATATTTCCTATGTGCACACAAAAGGGTTTGTTGAAATGCTCGTGAAGTACTAGCTTGTTGTTTAGGGCCACTCCCACTCCTAAGAGTGCAATGTGCCATTTAATTATTGTTTTGGTATTGATGATGACAAATTAGTTGGACTAATATTGGCGTATAAGTTTTTTACTCTAGTTTTAGCCTCATGATTATCTAGTGACATGGATCGAGGATCGTCGAACATTCAAATGCTCAAGAAGTTCATCTTGGAGGCTATTTTATTTAGCCTTTCTTTTTATTTTCTTGAGTATTAGGGATCTTGCACTATCAAGAGGGGACTATTGGGAAGCAATTTCAGGTCATGGACTCTTACCCTATTCCTTCTCCCAAGCCCAAACCCAAAAGGCAGCAACACTTCTTAAGCCATTTGGAGCAAAATAGGGTTTTTGTAGGGGCAGAATCTCCGGGCCTCTATTGTTACCCGTTGTGTGTACTGGCTCGGGGTGATGCCCCAACAAGAGACTCCAAGAGTTCATCTGGGCAACCTTAGGCTCGAGCCAGAGTCTTCAGCACCTTGCCTAGGAGTCTCTAGGGTACCCTCTTACCGGCTAGGCTATGTCTCGGGAATGATACCTAGCTAGAGACTCTGTCTTGTTATCCGGGTGCCCTCATCTCAGAGTTGGAGCCTCCCAATTTCTTTTGGGTGTTTCTCCATGTACCCTCGGGTTGGAGCCAGAGTCTCACGGCATTCTGCCCAGAGTCTCCGACCGTTGTCCCGAGGAATCAACCTGTTCTGCCCATGCTGCTCCTCTGAGTTGCGCGTAACAACAGAGTCGGACTCTCAAGGTCGAAATGGTCGGAGTGTCTGGGACCTTATTTATTGCAACACAATGGCCATTTTTTAACCTTCGATATAAGTCACCTACCACTCCGGCAGGTGGTTGACCACCTCATTCCTCTCTTGACTAGATCTTGAGAAGAACTCCCCCACCATTCCCACACTCTAAATCACTGATTTATTGTGGGATTTTTGAGGTATTTAAGAGAGGGTTCATCAAAGCATAGGTCTACTTCTCCTATCTCTTTTAACCATCTAGATTCGTGATTTGAGCAATGGCATCCCTCATGTCTGAGTTTGTAGGTATGGAGTGGTGGCTTCAGGTTGTTTGATGTATGATTTTGTCAGATCCTTGTTGAATAATTTAATAAAAAATGGTTGTGTACATCTTTTGATGCAGAGGTCGAGGGTTTCAACTTCATTTTCTAAATAAAAAATTAGACTCAATATGAGTCTTTCATCTAAAACTTAGTTATATCTTTAGTTCTTTATTTACTTCCATAAATCATTATAATGCTCTGGTGTCCTTTTCAGATAGAGGCAAATGCTAAGTTCAAATTTGATCAAGTTTTAAAACGTTGTCACAACGCCTTCGTTTCATTCGCACTAGAGAGCAATGATGCGAACATAATTATCTATTGGTCATATCGAAAGCAAAAATAAAAGAGTAGTCTGCTGAAGTGCTTTTACCTCTTACCTTGTCTTGATGATGACAAGCACTGAATCTTCTGCCAGAGTTTATCTGATTGTCTGATAAAAAGGACATGCGCACAATGGCAGCAGCAAGTTGACAAGATGCAGACCTAAGGTGATTACTCAGTAAACTCTGTCTTCCAATCACCTTGAACTTGAAGGCGACTTTTGGTACCAAAGGAAATACAAGGAGTTACAAGATGCAAAAGCCAACAAAGGATCTTGTCGCTGTAATCACCAGCTCGCACCGGCCAATGGTTTCTTACATTTTTCAAATATAAATATTGCAAGTTGTAGTACTACTGCTTGGACTAGAGTATTTGCTATAAGCATCTTGGGGAGGAACTATGCATGGATGGTATCGTTTGTATGTGCCCATAGTTTCCGTCCCAGGTCCTAAATAATCTTGGTCCATGATTATTCCTAGGTACTAGTAGTATTGATGCTGACGAGAATTAAAAGGTTCGGCAGAGCATTTCTCCTTCGAGGTCCACTCTACCAATCAATTCACACAGTCAGGGCACGGATAAATGTTGTATTTCTGAAACCATGTTGAGTTTCATGCGACATCAATTCACCCAAGAGTTTAGCTTGAGGAATGCAATTGTATTTCAGCTAAACTCTTTTCCAGTCCTATACTCGGATGTCTCTTAGCTTTGATGCAATCATACAATGATATGCTCACAGATTTTTCTAACATAAGAACAAGTCTTTTTTTTTTGCGGGTAAACATAAGAACAAGTCTAACTTGGAAGTATTGCAACTGGTCCTACTAAAAATGATGAGTAGTGTTATCCTCAAAAAAAAATATGATGAGTAGTGTCGTGACAATCCCCAGTGGCCTACTAGCAACCAAGAGACCCCAGCATCGCCTCCAGCGACTCGGGGGTCCTGGTTGGGCGATGCGTGGGGCGTTTTTTTCTAAAACACGGTACAATTAAAATTGCTCACATACACGTATGAACGCGCACGCACATTCTATATTTATGAGCACATCTGAGAAACAATCGCGTGTATTGGTTGCATTGCGACCTGGTTGTAGGTCAGATGCATGCTGGCGGCTAATGGTGGTACAGGTTTGTTCGGGCCATTGTTTCTGGCTTAGGTGTGTTGTATCTCTGGAAGAAATTCCTGCTCGTAGCCGGTGATGACCATACTTATAGATACTATTTTCTTGTTGGAATCACCACCGAGGAGATTTCGCACCTCTCCCACCCTCGAGCTCTACTCTTGGGGTGAAAACCAAGATCCGCTTTTGTCAGATTGATGATGGACGATGCCTTTGGCGTTGTTTCTTCAGTGGAACCGTCGGGTTTTTCTTTTGGAGTTTTAGCCTCTTGGCAGAGCACTTGGACTGCGTTGAAGTGGTTGGTCTAGAGCTGGCGGTGGCAAGGTGGGGGTGGTGTTTGCGGTGGCGGAGACACGTCCGTTCGGGTCCGAAGCTGGTCGGTATTGTTGGGTAGTCGACGCACACTCGACGTGCATGCAACGTTAGACGAGTCATGTTGGTCGTCCTCTCGAGATCAAAGCGGCACATTCACTCCTCTATCGTCAGATATTTCTTCTCTCTCTGGCGTCGACAATGTCATCATTTACCATCTGTTGCTTGAAAGAAAGATGAACACCCTATTTTCAAACTCACATGGAATAGCTCTAGCAGATTAAAACACAAAATCTTCTTCTGGTTAGTGGCACACTGCAGAACGAACACTAGAGCACTTCTCCAGAGAAAAGGCATGCATCTAGATGATCCATATTGCCCAGTCAACAATGAAAAGGCTGAGGAAACAAACATGCATTTACTCTGGGACTGCAATTTTGCACAAGAATGCTGGAACTCACTGATTCCAAACAGGCAAAGAGGTACTTCCATATATGAGGACACCATTCTGGCTAGCAAACTCATTCCAAAGCAATTCGCAGCAGAGATTATCATTTTGGGTTGTTGGAACATCTGGATTCAGACAAATGGAAAGGTTTTTCATGCTCAACAACCAACTTTACAGGCATGGCGATATTTCCTCAAGCAAGACATTCTGCTTCTTAAACACAGGATTAAGAATAAATTTTCTGCTAGCTTCTCTCAGTAGATAGATAATAACATATAAGATGATTTGTATTCCTAAGGCAGGCATAGGATAGTTTTTTCTCTTCCCTCTTAAGGACCTTTTGCAGGTCATTTGTAAATTGTACCTTATTTTTATTAATAGAAAATACCGTAGAACTATTGTTCTACGGGTGGGGCTTCAAAAAAAAAATCAAACATGCTTGTGGCGGTCTAATGCAATGGGGCAAACTGGTGCTCTTTGGTGAAGTTCAGGGAAGTCAAAGTCGTCGGCCGTGAGCACAGCTGGTGATGTACGATGATGCTGTTTCTGTAGACAATGTACTTTTCTGTTTGTGCTGTGTTAACCGGCCTTTGGGCGTTCTTGTATTTCTGTTTGTGCTTTGGTCCTAGTTTGCTAGGTGTGGTGCATTTTTTATACAGGTTTCGGCCGGTTTCCCTGGATAAACCGAGCAACCGTCGGCTTCTTCTGAATGGAATCTTGGCAGTTCTCCTGCTAACTTTCAAAAAATTAGTAAAAAAAAGAGATCGAAAATAATCAATAGCTCGACAAAACTTGCCCGCAATCATAAATTATATATAAATTGGAGAGGAAGTCGGACTACCCATGCTCTAGATTTTTCAAAGTATAAAGTAGTACAGTAGATTACGAGGAATAGTTTACAAGGTGGCACATTTGAGACGACAAGGACTGCCGGACTAGCGATGTGGTTGTCATTCAGGATCGATCGAGGTCACAGGTGAAGTTTGCAAGGTTTCCTACGATTTAAGTAAAGAAACAGGAGGTTGTAACTGTTTTACCTGTGTCTTGTGCATGGGGAGTGAGGAAAACTAAACTGTCCTGTGTTCGATGAGATTGCCTAGTCATGACAACTCATCCAAGTGGAAGTAGACAGATGATGTCAGAGTATTGTGTCCTCTGCAATTCATAAAATATGGAATGAGAGCTTTCATTGATGTAAATACTACATGGCCTAGCACTTGATGAACAGATTTTCCCTCACATATACCATGACAGTTAGAATAAGTCAAGAAGGGCCTTCTTTCAAATGCAATTGCTTGAAATGGCAAACAATTACCGTACACACAATCTATGAGCTTCTATTTATATAGAAAATATATCATCCAGAAGAGCTCGCAATGGCGATACTCACTATGGTAAACAATATGTAGAGCCCCATTAGGCAGTAGCCCCAGAATCTGGGTACCCGGAATCTGGCCCAGGTTACCACCAACAGGGTTGCCATCAAGCTCAGAAGAAGAAACACAAATGCAACAACAATTCCAACATGGAATTCAAGTACAAAGGCTTTGGGATACACTCCTGCTGTCTGCATCACTAGGGCAGTTCCTAATCCAACGAGCATGTTGAACATTGGGCCAGCAAAACAGCCAGCAATGGCGATTGTAGGTTGGCCGTTCTTGGCCAGTGCCACGTCAGCAACAAGATCACCGACAGAATTCCCCCATGCCAAGACTGTCATGCCAAGTATAGCTGGAGGGAGATCCATAATAACTCCAATTGCTGCCAGGCAGTTCAGGAGCTCTCCGGCCATGGTTGAGATCCAGAAGACGCTCATTACAAACGATATGAGGGTACTTGCAATGCTTTCTGTTTCTGGCGATTCTTTCTCAAAACGGAAGTGGGATAGAGCCAAACAAAAGCTAACCAGAAGCACAACAGACCAGAGGGGGAAGCGGATTTGAGGGAGAAGAAATACTATTCGGCTATCCAATGGAATGAATGAGCTAAAAGAATATAGTAGTATGAGAGGGCATAGACAGATGTTGGCACAGACATAAAATTTGTTCCATTCAGAAGGAAGCGTTGAGGGTATCGTGAGCTTCAAAAGAAATGTCACAGGCCAATCCCAAACTCTTGTTACCTGCCACAGGTAGATAGCCATCAGTATCATGAAAATCCAAGGTTAAGAAAGGAGCTTATGCTTCCATTCAAATCTCAAAGTGAACCAGAAACCAAGTGTCGTTACAATGAGTACTTCAAAGATGCAACAAGAAGATATCGATTTCTTGTTGCAAGTACAATCATGAGCTCTATAGTATACGTAGAAAGTCTGCAGATGATCAAACAGCAAAATATTTTCACTAAAGAAATAAACATGTTCCTATGAGAAGAAAACATAGCTGATGCTTGACAGTGAGTAAAGTTAAACACTGCCCTAAAATGAGAAGACTTGCCATAGATTTCGTAATTGCTCGCACTTATTGACCACCAACAAGACATGAGTTCGCCCAGTTACTATCTCATTTAGAATGGATGAATGATATCGAATTTTGTTAAAGATCTTCATCTGCTCTCGTATCTGATTTACAGGGAACGATAACACAAACTATAATATGGTTTCTATGTCTCCCATGGCATGGTAAAGCTTAAGAACATCGTGGTAGACATGGCAAGGATATAGACAATAGTGTGACCTTGCAGAATAAGCAAATATAAAGTCAAAGACTTGTCATAATCTTGATATCTATTTTTCTCTCTTCCATATAGAAGGTTCAGATCTGAGTAGCCATCAAAACAATTGTGCAGCATTCCTCCTAATCTCGTGCTAGACCATATTATGATTTTTTACATCTAAAGATTAAAAGTCAAAACAACTAGTTTTAGAACGTCAGTACAGAGAAATATCGAGTTATATTGCATCTATGTCATTGCATAGCAAAATATGGAAGTCCATTGCACTTTGCAGTAGTTCGAACTGAAATATTTCAAATGAAAGGCTTATCCACAATTAAGCATATAAAATGTTTAAGATATTGAAATATGTACAAGATTGTAAACTGTTTGAGACTGTGCGGCGTCAAATGTTAAGAATGAGGAAATGGAAGCATACACTGAAACTTGTACCAGTGGTCATGTTACTAAACAGTTGAGTATACATGTGCAGCTGGATTGTAGAAAAGCTGCAACACGCATGCAACCTTTAGCCATTACTCCATGTGAAAATGGCATCAACCGCATGTTCTTAATTATTAACGGGGATGAGATGCCTGTATGAGAAGGACTTGATAGCTTTAAGTCAAACCATTTAGGCGTCACTAGGTTTTCACCTGGTCCCTCATATTTGGTCACTTTATCATCTTTCCTATGTATATAGCAGGCTTCACTGCTAAAATGTATCCTTTGGTTATATGGGTTCTAACTAGAACTTACTTAAGACAGAAGAAGAAACAAGTTCTTCTGCTAGCGGCTGACCAAGCACAACAAAGCCAGTGTCAGTGTGGTATTCCATGAAGATATACAGGTATATATTCTAGCATAGGCCACAATAGCTTCTGAAACTCGTATTACTGAATAACTCAGTGGTTGCCACCTATCTGAGTGTTCTCCATCGTATATTAATTTTAGACTTTGTGGTCCCGTTATCATCTTCTTTAGATATTAATCGATCATCATGGCATATGTTCACCATCCAATTAGTTCATGCTGTATGCAACCAGATCCTTTGCCCAGTTGAGCAAGGAAAATTTAGCCTTGCTAAAGCTATCTTAGGTTGCAAACTGATTGGTAAGAGTTAAAAGTGTTCGCTACCTAGGCTAAGAAAACCCCAGGCAATGGTCATAGAACAAATTCGGTTATCTCTCATTGCAGTGGAAAAATGAAGATTATAATTCACCAATATGCTTTAACTTTTACTGTCTGTTCACTTGTGTATGATTTCATTGAAATGAATAAAATCTAGTCTTCTCAAACGAAAAGATACAGAAAAGACGTTAACACAGTGCCCATCTTACGCTCCAAACAAAACCCTAATCTGCCCATGCAACAGTTACCCTTCACAACTATAGATATGAATCAGAAATGTCCAAACAGCCAGGACAGATTGTTGGAATAGTTCGTCCGCTGCAGCTGCAGCCATTATTGGCAAAGTTAACTTTGGTCATGCCACAGGTGCATGGCTAGGTAAGGTGCTTGGATTTGTACAGTTTTAGGAGTATATTCTTTATGTAATGAACGCAATGTTTTGAACTTAGCAGTAAATAACTAAGCAGCTACAGGAAAGAGTGAAAGAAAGTGGGTATGTGATTATCATGCTTACTTTGGTAACTTCACCAACTTTGCAAATGTAATGGACTGGATATGATAGACTTACTGCCTTTATATATAAAAAAATAAGTACAATGCAACACTCCAAAATACACAAGTGAATCAACTAAGTCACTGCAGGAAAGAGTGAAGAAAATGAGTAAGTGATGAGCATCCTTATTTTTATCACTTCAGCAACCTTTCATGCAAGGGATTATGTGCTAGACTTGCTGATCCTATCAATATTACAAAAATCAAATAGAATGCAACATCCTAAACTACAAGTGAACTACTCCCTCTGTCCCAAAATATAAGAACGTTTTTGATACTATCATAGTGTCAAAAACGTTCTTATATTTTGGGACAGAGGGAGTACATGCTATAATATGAATACTTTTCTGGCCAACTAGCAGATTAAATACTTTTCTAAGTGCTTAATATTCTTTCTTCTTGAGAATCTCAGTTCAGAACAAACGCTTAAGGTAATCCATCAAAAGGATAAAGTCAACTCACCCCACTGACAACAGCTGCAAATAAACAAACCAAGTATTCAACAGTTTAAATGAGTATTTTCTTGTCGAAGACACTGCTACCAAAGAGACCAATTGCCTAGAATTGCTGAAATGCTGTCTCAGTCTACTCAAATTTCAGGACATATTCAATAGAAGAATAAACTATTGCTTCGTTCATAGTACCTTGGTGAGCACCGTCCACAAACTAGCTTTGCGTTGCTTCTGATGCTCCACTGAGACTGGCAAGTCCATCGCCCCGCGGCTCATGCCATTCGCTATCTCCGGCTCGGCAGAGCTGACTGCCTTTCCCGCCGCGCCCAAATCCATATAAAACACTAAGCCGACGAAGAAGACATAGAAGAGCACGAGCCCGACGGCCTGCCACAGGAATATCTCAGCGCTGAGGTAGATGTAGAAAAGCGCCGACGCGGCGACGAGGTATAAGAAGACGTCGCGCGTGAATGAAGCCGGCGGGACAGCGAAGGGCGCGGCGATAAGGGAGACGGCGCCGACGACGAACGCGGACACGAAGGCGCCCGCGGAGAGGATGGCAGCCAGCCCGGCCCGGGGCAGCCCGCCCTCGCCGCGTAGCGCGGCGGCGGAAGCGAACGCATCTGGGGCGCCGTTTCCGAGCGCGAGGAGCGTAACGGCGGCCATGGAAGGGGAGAGGCGGAGGCGGGACGCGAGGCGGGAGACGGCGGGGGAGAAGTGGGCCCCCGCGGCCACGGCGAGGAAGCGGAAGTGGAGGAGGAGGAGGAGCGCGAGGACGGGGAGGGAGAGGCGGCGGTCGGCTCGCAGGAGGCAGGAGTGGACGGCTGCGTAGTTGAGGAGTCCCGGGGCGGGGTCGGCTCTGACGGAGGCGCAGGCGGCGGCGGTGTATGGGAGGGAGGCCATGCCATGCGCTAGCTGCCGATGCTCCCGCGCGGCGGTGGTGAAGTAATGGCTGGCGCAAGGAAGGGAGGTGGGGGATTTCGGTGGAGATGGCCGACAGTGAGTGGGATCGGCACGGACGCCGACGCCCGACGCGTTGGGCGAATCCCACCACCAGCACCAAGGCAGGCGGAGTGGCCGATGCCGAACTTAGTGGTGGTGGGTCCCGTTCCGCGGAGAACGTGGAAATGCAGCACGCGTGGACGAGCGGACTGGCCCACGATGGGGTTATATGCAAGGCGGGCCGTTGTATGTTTATATGGTCCAAACTCCAAAGAATGCAATTTGTTGCCCAATTTCTATTTAGCGCTTAAGGCACCACCTGCCAAGAGCATCTCCAACAGACGCGCTACATAAGGCGCGTGCTGAAAAAGATTTCTATATAGCGCGTGCGTGATTAAAAATAACGCTTCAGCAGAAGCTGTAAAATAAAGCACGCACAAAAACGAAGCTGCAAATTTAGTGCACGCGGGCAGCGTAGCTACAAATTTGGGGCGCCGGCTTGAGCGCGCGGGCAGCTGCGTGTGGGTCCGCCAGGTTGGGCGCTGTGGTTTTGTGCGTCTGGTAAACCTCCCGCGCGCAAAAGCGCTATTTCGGGGTTGTATACTTTTTTTAGCGCGTCGCGCTAGCCCGCGTCTGTTGGAGATGCTCTAAATTCTCTCAAAAAAAGGCGCCACCTATAAAATTGCTCTTCGGTGCTTTTGAAGGAAATATGCCCTAGAGGCAATAATAAAGTTATTATTTATTTCCTTATATCATGATAAATGTTTATTATTCATGCTAGAGTTATATTAACCGGAAACATAATACATGTGTGAATATATAGACAAACAGAGTGTCACTAGTATGCCTCTACTTAACTAGCTCGTTGATCAAAGATGGTTATGTTTCCTAACCATAGACATTAGTTGTCATTTGATTAACGGGATCACATTATTAGGAGAATGATGTGACTGACATGACTCATTCCGTTAGCTTAGCACACGATCGTTTAGTATGTTGCTATTGCTTTCTTCATGATTTATACATGTTCCTATGACTATGAGATCATGCAACTCCCGTTTACCGAAGGAACACTTTGTGTGCTACCAAACGTCACAACGTAACTGGGTGATTATAAAGGTGCTCTACAGGTGTCTCCGAAGGTACTTGTTGGGTTGGCGTATTTCGAGATTAGGATTTGTCACTCCGATTGTCGGAGAGATATCTCTGGGCCCTCTCGGTAATGCACATCACATAAGCCTTGCAAGCATTGCAACTAATGAGTTAGTTGTGAGATGATGTATTACGGAACGAGTAAAGAGACTTGTCGGTAACGAGATTGAACTAGGTATTGGAATACCGACGATCGAATCTCGGGAAAGTAACATACCGATGACAAAGGGAACAACGTATGTTGTTATGCGGTTTGACCGATAAAGATCTTCGTAGAATATGTAGGAGCCAATATGAGCATCCAGATTTCGCTATTGGTTATTGACCGGAGACGTGTCTCGGTCATGTCTACATAGTTCTCGAACCCGTAGGGTCCGCACGCTTAAAGTTCGGTGATAATCGTAATTAGGGTTTTTGTGTTTTGATGTACCGAAGGTTGTTCGGAGTTCCGGATGTGATCACGGACATGACGAGGAGTCTCAAAATGGTCGAAACATAAAGATTAATATATTGGAAGCCTATATTTGGATATCGGAATCGTTCCGGGTGAAATCGGGATTTTACCAGAGTACCGGGGGGTTACCGGAACCCCCCGAGGGTTAATGGGCCTACATGGGCCCTAAGGGAGAAGAGGAGGGCCGGCCAGGGCAGGCCGCGTGCCCCCTCCCCCCTAGTCCGAATAGGACAAGGAAGGGGCGTGGCGCCCCCCTTTCCTCTTTCCCCCTTCCCCTTTCCTTCTCCAACAAGGCAAGAGGGGGGAGTCCTACTCCCGGTGGGAGTAGGACTCCTCCAGGCGCACCCCAAGGGGCCGGCCGCACCTCCCCCCTCCCTCCTTTATATACGGGGGCAGTGGGTACCCCATGACACACAAGTTGATCTTCGTGATCGTTCCTTAGCCGTGTGCGGTGCCCCCTTCCACCATATTCCACCTCGGTCATATCGTAGCGGTGCTTAGGCAAAGCCCTGCGTCGGTATAACATCATCACCGTCATCACGTCATCGTGCTGACAAAACTCTCCCTCAACAGTGTGCGGTGCGGTGCGGTGCCCCCTTCAGGGGGGAGTTCACTGATCTAGGGGGCCCTAGGTGACGCGTGCATGGCGAAACCACCTCTTCTGGGTGGCGGCGGCAAGGAGGTTACACAGAAGATGTGTAAGTGCATCTAGTGCCACCCCTAGTTGGTTTTGGAGTATTGACGATAAACCTGGTTAAGGGACTAATGTGTTTGTGAGAATTGCAGGACAACACAGGTAGTAGTCCCTCACTGATTCAGTTTACCTACCGGAGATGACCCCTAAAAATGTATGAAGACATGGAAGACAAAGGTGGTATATGAAGGTATTCACATTGAAGACTATGACAAGAGAAGACATTGTGTGAAGACTATGGAGCGCGAAGACTTAGTTGTTTCGTTGTTTCGTTTTCTTCTTTGTTGAGTCATAGAAACCACCGTACTATTATGTGGGGTCCAAGTGAACCAGTCAGAATGACTAAAGTGATGCTTAACCCAAATCCTATGTCTTCAAGCGAAGACAATGAGAGCAAATCTTATCCAGAGCTGGATAAGTCAGCTTTGCTTGTAGCTCAAGTAAAGTTGTCGTGTGTGTTTGAAATCTGACCGTTGGAACACGTGTCAGTTCCTTAGTGACCCAAGGTCATTTCGGACAAATCAGGTCGGGTTGCCTAGTGGCTATAAATAGCCCACCCCCTACACCATAAATTGGCTGGCTGCTCAGAGTTAGTGCACGACTTTTGTCGTTTGAGAGCAACCCACCTTGAAGCCTTTGAGAGAGAAATCCTTGCGAGGACAAAGCCCTAAACACACAGAGCCAAAGAGTGTTAGGCATCACTGAAGTCTTCCTGTCTATGTAATCTAAAGACTTATTACACTTAAGGACTGTGGATCCTCCAGCCGGTTAGGCGTCGCGTTCTGAGCATCCAAGAGTCATTGTGGATCGCCGGTGAACGAAGTCTGTGAAGGTTTGGAAGTCTACATTGAAGACTTACCAGAGTGATTGGGTGAGAACTGGGTGTCCTTAGCTCAAGGGGAATAAGGTGAAGACGCGGTCTTCTGAGTTGAATCTCAGCCTCCCTAACCAGACGTACAATTGTCACAGCAACTGGAACTGGTCCAACAAATCATTGTCTTTAACGAGCCACTGGTTCTATCCTTCCCATCTCTTTATTTGCAGTTGGTCCTTCTGAAGTGATTGCCTGTTTGCATTATCCTTTTGTCTTCACTGTGTGACTGCTTGTTCTGATTGGCTTCATACTATCTTCCGTCCTGATCTATACTGCCTAGCTGCTATTAGTCTTTGTGCTTTCACTTCATTGAATACTTGACTATGGCTTGCCTAGTGTAGTCTATCTTTCGTTGCATGGTAATAGGATTGTTTCTATCGTTTGTCTTCGAAACTTCCATGTTTTGAAGACTTTCATAAAAATCGCCTATTCACCCCCCCTCTAGTCGATCACTAGCACTTTCAATTGGTATCAGAGCAAGGTACTCCTTTGTTCTGTGTGATTCGGTTTAACCACCTGGAGTTTTAGCTATGTCGACTGCAGGGATAATCAAAGTCTCCGTTGCGTGCCCAGTCTTCGATGGAACTGAATATCCCTACTGGAAGAATAAGATGTGCATGCATCTTGAAGCCATTGATGTCGACCTCTGGTATGTTGTGAAGAATGGCGTCCCCACGGCTGGTGAAGGTGTCACCGCTGTTGATGTCAAGAAGTTCGTTCAACTGGATTCCATTGCCAAGAATATCATTTGTGGTCATCTGACCAAAGGAACGTATGGCCGTGTGAGTGCTCTGGAAACATCTAAACTAGTCTGGGACTGGCTCTCCAAGGTCAACGAAGGCGTCTCAACCCAGGGAGATCAAAGAATCAGTGTCCTTCGCAACCTCTTCAACCACTTCAAGAGAAACGACAATGAGAATATTCAGCTCACGTTTGATCGACTCACTGACATCACAAATGAGCTTCAAGCTCTTGGCGCTACTGAGATCACCAAGCATGAAATCGTCAGGACACTCCTGAGATCACTTGACAGCTCGTTTGACACCCTAGCCCTGATGATTCAAGAACGCCCTGACTTCAAGACACTCGATCCGTCTGACATACTTGAAAGGCTCAACACACATGAGTTTCAGCTTTCTAAGAAAAGAGACATCTACGGTCCCAACTATGGGCGAACTCGTGCTTTGAAGGCAAAAGCTGTTTCCTCATCTGAAGAAGAATCTGACTGCAGTTCTGATGATCCTGAAGACATTGGAAAGGAGCTGCTATGCTTATGAAGAAGTTCCAGAAATTCACCAAGAAGAAAGGCTTCAGAAAGTCCTCACGATCCAGCTCAAGGAATGATGAAGCTTCTGCCCATGACTACAAGAAGAGAACATGCCACAAGTGCAAGAAACCTGGTCACTACATCTCTGAGTGTCCACAGTGGGACAATGAGAACAACAACAAGAAGAAGAAGAGCAGGGAATATGATGCTGACGACAAGAAGAAGAAGAAATACTCAAAGTCTTCTTCCAAGTCTTCCTCAAAGTCTTCATCACACAAGAAGAGCTCATCTGGCAAGGCTCGTGCCTTTGTTGGCAAGGAAATGGATTCAGAGGAGGAGTCTGCTTCTGAGGAGGCGGAGGTGGAGTCTGAGGAGGAGTCTGATTCTGGCGTTGCAAGTCTGGCTACAGCCTACGTTGCCAAGTCCATCTTCAACACTGAAGACAATGACTTCGTCACCGACGCCGATGCTGATGATAAGGACAACTCCGCTCCCACCTACTGCTTCATGGCACGCGGTG